CTTACTCCTCTGTTTACATATGACGTCTCCTCAGTACTCTGAACCACACCACGTGCTGAGTCGCCGACCTACCTCAATCCACGTGGTCACAGATCCTCTGTTTACATGTGACGTCATGGACACCCCCCTCCTCCCTCCCCCCACCCCCCGTCACTGGTCTAGACACCTCCTCTCTCATAATTTACCAATTTTACCAACATTTTCGTCAAAATTCACTGCAAACCATGAACACGAGTGTCTCCAGCTTCACACCTAGTGCGAGCCTAGTTAGCTGTCATCGCACTCAAAACACACCGCTGTCTACCCAAAACACCCCGTACGAACCTTCTTGTCTGATCAAAACACCCAATACGAGTCTACCCCCCTCGCCTTCTTGTGGGGTAATACCACAAATAATGGTATTAAATAATAAATACCTCGCCTTCTTGTCTGACCACATAATACTGGACAACACCCCTTTCGAGGAAAAAACAGCTGTCACATGACCAGACAAGGGGGAGGTCATTAACCCTCCTCTCTCACAGACTTTCAGCTTTTTTACTGATTTTACCACCATTTTCATCAAAATTCACTCAAAAACCATCACTTTTTCACCAAATTCAACAGAAAGTGAAGGAAAACACACAGATTTTCAAAGTTTTCAACGATACCTCCTCTGTCCCAGAACACCCAAAAGTACTACTACTCGTAACTAATCAAAATTATTTTCAATATGATTCTAAAATGTACAAACAATGTGATTGTTTAGCGATGGGATCACCACTTTCTGGCTTATTAGCTAACATATATTTGAATAACTTAGAAGAAAATAAGATAATGAACAAAAATAACCCTCATAAGGAAAGCATAATATATTGGCACAGATATGTAGATAATATATTATGTCTATTCAAAGGAAATGAAAAATCGTGCACTGACTTTTAATCCTATTTAAACACAATATCTAAGGAAATAAAATTCACAATGAAAATAAAAAAGATGAAATCAATTTTCTCGACTTAACAATTGGAAAAAACAATGACAAACATTATTTATAAATTTATAGAAAAGCCACTCAAACATATCTTGTTATTCCTGCTGATTCAAATTCACCGTGGCAACATAAAATGGCAAGCTTCAACTCTATGGTACACAGAATGTTAAGAGTGCCTTTAAATGAAGATGATTATGATTTGGAAAAATCTATTATAAAAGAAATAGCTACAAGAAATGGATACAAGAATAGTTTAATAGACAAATTAATTAAGAAGATAAAAAATAAGAAAACCCAAAATTTAAACATAGAAGAGAAGAAGGAGTTTATTTGTCTTCCGTACAGTTCGGTATTAAACAAACCAATCAGAAAAACATTTCAAGCATCTAAATTCAAAATTAGCTATAGATCTAGAAACAACGCATTCAATTTAATTAATAAACTATCAAACAAGAACCCACAAACAATTGACAAATATAACAAATCTGGAATATATAAAATTAAATGTCTAAATTGTCCCAAATTCTACATTGGTCAGACTGGAAGAGCATTTTCATGCAGATTCAAAGAACATATCCAAGCCGTAAAATCAAACAATAAAACATCCCAACGCTCAATGTATGCAGAACACATATTAGAAAATAATCATAATTATGGTAAATTAGAAGAATGTGTCAAAATTCTAAATTATGAGAAAAAGGGTGAAAAAATTGATATAAAAGAAGAGCTGCAAATATACCTACATTCAAAAGAACACGGCGACCAAATTCTTAATGTAATGCAAAAACAAAAGCAAAATCCAAAACATGAAAAAATCAGACAAATCAGGGAAGAATCTTGTACATTCACGTGTTAAAAAATACACCTAACCATTTAATCAAAATTTAATAGGAATTCAAAACATATGTTATTAACTATTTATTTATTTTATTTGTTTACATACTTTTATATAGCTCATACTGTGATCATGGCCTTAGTGCCGAAATACGTATCAGTTTAAATAAAAATAAACTTCAGGGTAATCTGGTTTTTATTATTTTGCTTATTAAAATATATATATATATATATATATATATATGAATTTGAATGGATGGTGTTTTTGGTCTTTAGGGACCTCAAAACGAAAAAGTAAATCGGTCCTGGGACTAAGTCTTACCATGAGACTTACAGTAATAGCTTATGCTCTATAGGGAAATTTGCTAAAAAACAGACAGACACCACATCCAGGGCAGCCCCGAGGGCCGGGCAAGCGGGACGACCGCCCTGGGCTAGGGGGGCCGCGGCTTAGGAAGGTAAAAAAATTATGAGGCAAACCGCAAACGAATATTTTACGGGAAACTCGTAAACATGTAATCAATGACAATGACTATTCTAAAATAACCCTGCCGTAGCAAACCTGTCAACTAAGTAAATTTCCATTTGTCTGAATTGATTTTCAATTAAATCTATTTAAATAACATTAGGTTTAATGAGTACCTAGGTTTGCTGCAACAAGGAAACTAATTAAGTGTAATTTTTAGTAAAATATTAATAGCTTAGTATAAAATAAATAAATTTGCCAAGTTTGATCAAAGTATATCCATAAAGAAGCAAACTACAACATTTTACAATATTCTTTATAAAAATAACATGGGAATTTTAAATTTATAATTTTTTTTTTTTAATTTTCTCTGTTACCAATAACTGTACTTAAACACTTTGATATACTAAATTATTTGTTTTTTCAAGCTCTTTAAAAAGGTCCAGAGAGAAATTGGGAAATGTGTTTTAAGGGTCAAAAATGAGAAAAACAAACAATTTTTTACCCTATAAAACCCCCCGTAAAACCCCGTTCCCATGGTCCGATCGCTGGTTTGTGAACTCATTCAAGTTTATCCCGTATTACACCTTTAAACCAAATTTCATCTAAATCGGACAAAAATTACTCAAGTTATCGCGTTGACGAACGTATATATAAGTCTATATATCAACAAGCACATAATATATATATACTAGAGAACCCTCAACGGCTCAATGAGCCGCATAGTATGAAACATAACGCCGAGGAAAACGTTATGCTTAAATTCGAGTAATTCTAGTTACATCTTAGAGTTGTTTAAACACTTGTTAGAAACTAATTTTAAATATCTCTATTTGCGTCGTCAAGGCTCACTTACATTATTTCTGCTCTCAGTTTTAACTGATAACTTCTAATGAATGCTAAACGATCTGCTTCAATTCGAGTTAACATGTTGCAACAAAGTTTTTCTAGCATTTAGAATTGAAGAAAACTGTTACCTTACTGATAAGTTGTGTTAAGTAATTTAAGTTGGGTCATTTTATTTCTTTGATTTGAGACATCCCCTAATCAAACGAATTTTCACCGTAGAGAATCATGAAAAGTGGGGTGATATCAACCATTTCATGTACTCCATTTTTTACCCACAAAATCTGGGTTACCAACTGGACAGCCATAATCTGTTATATTTGTTTCACTTCCAAAGTAAGTTGCATAGCGGAACTGGCAAATATTACTCTTCCCACCAAGTGCATGTGTATCTGGATGGGTATCTGTTAGACCGCACCTCTATTTTTCTACTCTCATACGCATAAAGATATCTTATTATTAATTGTCTCCTCCTCCCGTTTTTAATATTTCTTCTTTGAACTTGAGTCATTTTCTGTTCTTCCAACAAAACTGATTAACTGTTTAACTTGGTCTTAACGTACTGAATACTACAAACATCAATATTTACTCCCAAAAAGTTAATGAGTTTCTTTTTAGAAATAGCTGTTTTTTTGTTTTTAAATTTGTTCTATGTATTTCTTATGGGGAAAACCCAACTTTTGAGAGGGTCTCACGGCCTTAAGAGGAGGAATTTTAAAATTCTAAAACCTTATTGCAAAACTACATATTGAGACAAATCTTTTGACACCTTAAACTTTAAAATTGGTCAACAAATAGCCTAAGGGAGGAGTTGCGTTAACCAAAAACTGCTTCACGTATTATATATATAGATATATATATATATATACAAATTTGAACGAATAGTGTTTTTGGCCTCTGGGGACATCAAAATGAAAAAGTAAATCGGTCCCGGGCCTAGGTCTGACCGTGCCACCTACTGTAATAGCTACCACCCTATAGGGAAATTCGCTAAAAGGGCAATCTATAGCTTTTGCTTTATTCATAAAATAAATACCGTTATTTAATATACAACTCGTACTATTACTACTTTTAAGTCTGGCATGTGACTTGTTGGCAAAACTGCGAGTCCGAGACACACACGCCCCACCTACACTTGCTTTTTTAACCTCAAAGCTTAATCTCTTACGTCAACTCATAGTCGTTTTGTGATATCCGATGTGAGTCGTAAATTCAATGTTTTTAGTTATTTAGTTCAGTGTAGTTGTTACGTTTATAAAAAATACTTGCAAAATGTTCAATATCTATCTATATATTGGACGTTGGGTCTATTGACACAAATCCCCAAATACCTTTTTTGGGGAGATGGCGAAAATTTAAATCTCGCCCCAGGCGTCTATTACTCTCGGGGCGGCCCTGACTACATCTTCTTTATAACAGTATATACATAGATAGATAAGGCCTTAACAAACGAATGCTTGTCACTTATGTTCTTTAGATAGGTTCTGAAATAATTCCATAATAGTTTAATCACTTTATAGCACTTGCTGTAAAGTGCTCTAGGTCAACGCTGTTCCGCCTGGCTCCCTCTACTACCAAGTGGCAAAAGCAGTGCCTATGCACACTCCAAAGTAAAACGTTTTACTATGTCTTTTCCCCTATAGATACATTGTGTTAATATTTTCTTGATACATTTCAAACATTTAAACGTTTCATGCTCAGGCCAAAAGCCTATGTGGGTGGGAAGTCACAAAGTTATGTTAAAAGAGGCCAACATCCTCTTAAAAAAAAAAAATCCAAATTATTATTAATTTTTTAATTAACCAAGATTACTTTTGCATTAACAGTTTATCTTTTAACTCAGTTTGCTTCCACTGTCATTTTGTTGTACATGTTTGTCAGATGAAGCAAAGCTAGCTGGTGTCAGACGACCCCAGCCAGCACTCAGGGACTTGCCCAGGAGAGCAGTTGGTGCCAGAAATGCCAGAGTTCGCCTCAGAGCTGCAGCAGGTAATTTCCTTCCTTCCAGGGTTGGGAAGTAGCAACGCTACAGTAGCGTGCTACTTTTTTTGTAGCGTTAGCTATAGCTACACTACTTTTAAGATTTTGTAGCTTTAGCTGTAGCTAGCTACACTATTAAGCACTTACACAGCTTAAGGGTGGACCTCCCTTTGAAGTAATAACGTGCCTTCTCAATAGATTTTTTTTCTCAAATAAAAACATAGATTTAGTCTATTTTGCACTGACAAAATCACGGAAGTGTTTACCACAAAAGATCCATCCACACGATTTTAATACTATCTAATAGTTCTTAAAAAGGGGATGACACCAGTTATCATAACTCCGATGACGTACTGGAAACATTTAATTCATTGAATAATCAAACCATATTCTGTAACTTGCGCAATAGTGATTATTATTTTTAAACACTTATTTATTACTCATTAAATAAAGATAAATGTTAAAGTTTTGATCATTTAACTCTATTTATCACGTTTAGATGAATTAGCTTAAGCCTTTAAAGTAACCGTCGATTTCGAAGGGTTTCACCTAGTAACATATTAGGTTTTAAAGTTCTTTGTTTATGATCTTGTGATGTAATGTGTAAAGAGTTCTTCCAACAATTAATGTGATGTAATAGGCCGAGAGGATGAGGAAGAAGATGATGCAGAAGAGAGAGCAGCTCCTAATTCAGAGATCGATGACTCCAAGATGGGAGCTAAAAAACGAGCTAAACTAGAAGCTAAGGCCGAGAAAAAAGCACAGAGGGAGGTACGTTCTAGTTATTTGAAAAGGTTGAACCTCATGGGTAATTTTAATTTATTATTTCAATAATTTTAGTAATACAGCTTATTAGAATTTTGGGCGATTATCATCAACTCTGTATGTTTTATTTTAAATATTTTAATAAACTTAAATTGAAATCAATAAAGTGCAAATTAATGAGCTGATGTCACCTGTCTGACACTAAACAACCCTACTTGCAACGTTGCCAATTTTACCAGGCCGTGGCCTGGAGTAAAAGGGAGCCGTGCCTAATCACTACTATTTTCATTTTATATATATATATATACACACATATAAAAATTTTAACGAATGGTGTTTTTGGCCTCTAGGGACATCAACATGAAAAAGTAAATCAGTCTCGGGCCTAGGTCTTACTGCGCCACCTACGGTAATAGCTACTTCCCTATAGGGAAATTTGCTAAAAGTAGATTACAGAGGGAGATTAATTAATCTAAATGTGGTCCCAGAAAGCTTGTAAGCTAAGACATAGGTACAATACTGAGAAAACTTTGGTCAGTGACGTTTCCTAACAAGGTTAGTTGGTCACCCTTGTTCCTTGTAAAATAACTCCATCTCTAAATCGTTGTATCAATCTTTGTATATCATCAGATGTAAAATGTTAGTAATGGTAACTAAATTATAGGCTATAGTTGGATAGTTGCAATAATTTTAAACGTACTTTTATAAGTTTTTGTTTTCTGCCACTAGGTTCAAGAGAGAGAAAGGGAAGAAAAAAAGCGGAAGAAAGAATTGCTTGATGAGGAAAGGAAAAAGGCTGAATTTAAAGAAAAATTAGAGGAGGAAAAGCGACTAGAACAAGAAAAAAAAGAAAAAGAAGAAAAAGAAAGACAAGAGTATGAAGAATATTTGAAACTAAAAGAAGCCTTTAGCATCGAACAAGAAGGCTATGATGAATCTGAGAGCGAAGAGAATAAATCAAATCTCTTACAGGATTTCATCTCTTATATTCAGGTTTGTTAATATTGTTACTTTTTGAAAGGGAGAGAATGTTTGCTGCTGAATGAACATATAAACATTAGTGTTCCTTTTTTATTAAAGAAACATGTTAATGATATATTGGGTTTTATCTATTCTATTTAAAAGTTACAAATTCTTAGTAGTTTGCCCTTTTCCTTCTGGCAACGGGCCAGCAAAACATTTCTGTCAATCATATTTTATCTTCTAAAATCTATCTATCTATATAAAAGGCAAAGCCCTCACTGACTCACTGACTGACTGACTGACTCACTCACTCATCACTAATTCTCTTACTTCCCATTTACCTAGGAGGCTGAAATTTGGTACACTGATTCTTTAGGCATTAATAGGAAAACTAAGCTGTTTTTATTCTGATCGGACTCTCGGGCTCCGCCCCAGTGGCTCTGGAGTTTCCCATGTTAACCTTATGAGTACTTATATTTAAATGGAATTAATGAATCTTAACAGCTGTTTCAATAAACAAGTTGGTTCTGTTCTATGATGTTCAATAGCATTAAAGTTACAAGGATTACCAACAGGGTGCAGCACTATTATTTCTTTTACATTTATGACAACAGCTAATTTGCAACCAAAAGGTGAGTGAGCGTAGCAAACGAACTTCAACCTGGAGGCGAGTTACCGTAGCGAACGAGCTCCAACTAAAAGTGAGTGAGCGTAGCAAACAAACTTCAACAGGACGTGATTGAGCCATGCGAACGAGCTCACTTATAAAGTTAAACGGGGCAAAGCCCGCTGGTACAGCTAGTATTATATAAGCTAAAGTTTTGCTGGATGAAAAATATCTGTCACAGCAAACCTGCAGAATAAGATTTAGTTATTTTGTTGGAAGGTTTCTTATCGTATGATAAAAACAGTTAGCTCAATTTTTTTTTTTTTATATTTTAAAACAAAACTTAACAAAAAGTAGAGATGTGCGAGTACTCGAGATTTCGATTACGAGTCGAGTACGGCCTTGAAACTCGAGCTTATCTTTGAACTCGGCAGTTTCAAGTCGAGTTTGGTTTAAAATTGTAAAAAATCAATATTTGTTAAAATGTAACTTGTGTTTACATTAAATGCTTTATAATTTGTAGTACTGTACTATAGATTCTACAGTAATACAAATATTTCTACAGTGTAGAAATGAGCAAGAGGTAGTTGTCCTAACCTATTTTTATAGCTTTCACAACAGAATAGGTCAACTCAAAGCAGTTGCCGGCGACTGACTGGCAATGGCATAATCTGGACTTGACACAGAATTACATGATCGGTAGTGATCTTGTTTTAAAGTACTGTTTCACAATAGAAAATTCCACTACTGAACTGTTACAAGCAATAAATCTATGTTTAAAAAAAATCAGAATAGAAACACTACAAAAGGCAAAACAATAGAAGGGAGGGAGGGGTTGTGCAATGACCTCGAAATGAGCCGGCAACCGGCAACAGCGAGTGGTGTAGGGGGTTGGGGGGAAGGGGAGGGTGAGACCTTGGAGCTATATTTAGACCAGACTAGACTTTCACCACTTCCGAAATGGCTGGGTAGGGGCAGGGGGATTACAATAGCAGGTTTTTTCCTTGCCTGGTTTGACTTTTGTCTTTTTGTATAGGAGATTTGAATCATCAAAAATATAATTTGAATTTACCACAATTAATTATTTAGCATTGAAAATACAATCTGCAAGGGACCAGGAGAAATATTCAAATAAGAGTTAATACCATGATTTACATTTTTATGTCAAAATACAACATTGCACAATCATGATGTTTTGGGTCATTGACCTTAATAACACATCTGTGTAACTACTTACTCAATTTTAATTAAAAATACAATTTCTTTACTTTGCCATTCTTGAAACCCTAAAACTTATTTCAATTCATATTTCTTAAGCTTCCTGAACATTGTAATTCAACCCATTATTTCCTGTTTTCAATACTCAATCTCTGTAGCTGTCATTCTTAATCATCATTTCCTGTTTACTGTACTTTTCCAATGATCAGACAGTCTGGGCTTGTTCCCAAAAGTAAGTGCAAGCTACGCATCCGTTTTCCTGTGACAGAGACAGAGAATATGCCAATAAACTTCTGGAAGCATCGACACGTGTGCAAATCACGTGGACTCACAGAAACCAATCAGCTGTAAGAAAACCCTGGCTGTTTGACGTATCACCACCCGATTGGCGGAGAGCTTCCGGCATCTTTCACGACCCTCTAAATTACCTGAAGAAGAGATGCACAGTCTCCTAGAATACGGCTTAGCGTGAGTTAGTCTCCAGTCTCCAAAATCGTTAAATGTTTCGTTGAAGAGTCGCGCGCGTGTGTTGTGTGTGAATGTGAAGTTTAGATCCCATGGCCTGTTGTCACTTTAGTGGCAGAAGTTAGGTTGGGTAACATCAAGTGATACATGTATGTACCAATTTAAATCCATTGTAATCATAATTTATTTTAATTCTTAATCTGCTTGCTCACTCACAAAATAATTAAAAGGGAATGTTTTTAACCTTTGTTTCTCTCTTCCTAGAGAGAGATTCTTCAAGTCTAAACTTAGTTTTATTTTATTAGTTTTCCTTTAAATTTTTATTTTGTTTTAACAACATATACTTTTATATTTCTAATTCATATTTTTCATTTATTATTTTATTTTTCCATGCACTCCATCTCCCTAGTCTTTTGACTTCAATCTTTTGATCTTGGGTTTAGTTCTTTCTTTTAAAATACCCTTTCTTTGCTGGTCTTTTGCCATTTATAATTATTGTATTTACAAAAGTTTGTTAGTTCAATTTATACTCAATGTTTCTGTAATTTGTTATTTTGCTCTTAAATTCTTTATTACATTCCTCTTGTAACAGAATGCCAGTGTTTTACTGTTCCCGTACCTCAAACTTATGTCAAGTGAATTCTGTTAAATAAAATTAATTACCAATTCAACAATAAAGGTTACATATGTTATAAGTTGATAATTATAAATTGATGCTACCGTGGTTAAAAATAATTATTCTGTAAACTTGTAAAACATAGATAACTCATAAATAAGTATAAAATCATTCATAAAGACAATAGTAGCACTCCTAAAAAAGCTTACAAATATCTCAAAATAATTAAGTGGTAGCACTTGGTCTTCTAGGTTACATAGTTTGTTTTCCTTCATGACAACTTGCATTAATGTGGTTAATGTGCATGGAATACAATTGATTATAGTGAGTTAGGCCTAAGTCTAGGTTTCATTTGATTTCTATAACTACTATTGTATGAGCCTATTACATTATTCAGTCCAATTTTCAATCTACAATTGTTTTGTTTATCAGTAAGGTAGACTACTTGTAGGCCTATTTGCACTTTATTTTTAACATATATTTTGAGTATTTTGACAGAATGTTTACAATTAACATACAAGATTAAAAAATTTAATTTTCTTTAATTTCAAAATTTATTTTAACTTTACCCACTGTCAAACCATTGGAAATTTTGTAGGCCTACTGTTACAAAAACCACACCAACTAAAAGAATAATGGTAATAAACTTAAAAAACTAAAGGTGAAAAGGTAGGAAATAAAATTAATTTGAAGTTTTAGAATAAATCTCTTTATTAAACTAAATATTGTAATTGCAACCTTAATAACTAATAGATGCAAGTGTTAAGTAATTTTAGCCAAGTATTATGCAATATTACTTATCAATAGGGATTAATGTATTTAATTTTTGGATAAATAAATATATGCTCACTTACCTATTTTTCACAGAAGTAGAAGTTCATTTATGAGCTCTATTGTTGTTGTTTTAAAATTATTTTCTATGCATTATATTGATATGTTACTGCACAAATATTAATAACTAGCAGAGTACCCGTCCTTCGTACGGGGTTGGCATAGAAGTATAAAATGCTTATACATATGGTTTGACAGCTCTATTTAAGTGATGTTAAATAATGTTTACATTTAGGCTAGTGACATCATTATTTTAATTTATAATCCTTACCCTCTCTGTTCTAATATTCGTGCAGTATTTAATATGTTTGAACCAGCTGTGTGGAATTGTAAAATCAAAATTCATTTGACAGTTAGTTCTGCTTGTTTACATTTTTAAACTTTGTAGGTTTGTTCTTTGTTACCATGGATACCATCAATCAATATTTACTTTTAAATCTCTCACCTCAAATTTTTGAATGCCCACGGGGCAGAGCCGTAGGACAATATCGAAGCGGGAATAGTTCTATATGTATCCTCGGAACTGTAGCTTCATTTGTGTGCAATTTGAGCCCAGTAGATTCAGTAGTTTTTTAGATTAGCTCATACAAACACACACACACACAGACACCACCTCTTCTTTATAATAGTATAGATAGATTAATTTATTTATAATCATTCTTCAGCTTGTAACAAGGTTGTTTTACAAGTTACATGCTCTAGGCCTAAGGAGTTATTTTACACATCCTTCGATCTTTTGGGTTTAAACTCGACTCGAACTCGACTCGACCTGAAAAACCTGTGCTCGCACATCTCTAACAAAAAGTTTTCAATTTTCATCTTTTAAAAGTAAAAAAAATATATATCCCCCGTAGAAAAATGGGTACATGCCTTGGCCCATGAAATGAGTAATTAATAATGAAACTGTGTTTTTTTTTCAGACAAATAAGGTTGTTGTTTTGGAAGACCTTGCAGCGACGTTCAAGTTAAAAACACAATTTGTTATTGACAGAATTCAAGATTTGCAAACAGAAGGAAGAATTACAGGTAATTATTAGGTATATAGGCCAACACTAAAACCAACATGTTTATATTCATAGTCCTATTCACCTTAATAACTGTTCTCACTTACTTACTGCCGTGGCTCTTGGTACCCAAGGAGGTACTTTGCCTCGCCAACACACTGCCTCCAGATTCCAGGATCAATTGCTTCCTCCTTTCTTCTTTCCATTCTTCTCAGGTATCTTCTTACTTGATCTCTCCACCTCAACTTGGGCCTTCCAGGAGGTCCTCTACCCTCAGGGTTGTTGATTAGGGTGCTTTTCATTAGGGAGCCCTCTTCCTTTCTAAACACATAATCTTAACCCACCTTAGCCCATCTTAATCTTCTACTTCTCACCTCAGCCACAATATCTGAGTCCCTGTACAACTCTCTCAACTCCCTGTTGTGCTTTACTCTCCAGTCTCCATTTTTTCAAAGGTTGGTCTAAAGATTTTTCTTAGAATCTTGTTTTCAAACACTATAATTCGTTTTCTCTTACTTAGCACCCAATTCTCTGAGCCATATAATAAGACTGGTCTTTTTATGGTTTTGTATACACGGATTTTAGTTGTATGTGAAAGTAGGCAAGAACTTAACAATTTGTGGCATGCCGATAAACTTCTATGTGCTGCCTTTAATCTGTTGAATTTTAGCATCTGCTTCATTATTATTCGTAAGCATTACTCCTAGGCAAGAGAAATTGTTTACTTTATAAAATTTGTGTCCTTCTATTTCTACATGATTTTTATTATTTAATTGGGTAGCTCTTCCACACTCCATTATCTTGGTTTTGTCTTCATTGATATTTAAGCCTACACTTTAAGCGTGGTTTGTGAGTTTTGTAACCATAACTTTTATTTCATCTTCGCTTTTGGCAACAAGTGCCACATCATCTGCAAATGCCAGGATATTTATGTTGGTTCCGATAGTAATTCCAGCTTCTAGTTTTTGTATTTCTTGTAGAGAATATTCCAAAGATTGAATAGCAATGGGCACAAACCATTTCCCTTGCATTTAGATCCTGATACAACTGTTCTAAAGAAACATACTCTTGAAAAAGTAAATTTGTATTGTACTGAACTAATTTTGTCCCGGAAACAAGTTTTGGTCCCTATTAAACCTTGCAATTTGCGCATGGCTCCCCTTGTGTAATTTTTTTTTTTTCATGTTGTTAGCCTCCGGATCACTGGTATAGTAATAAATAATGGTTTAAATACCTTATACTGTCAAATCCTTTGTAGCCTATGTAGCTACTGCAGTTTCGTTCCCGATGGGAACTTCATCGGGCTGTCAAGGACATCAAATTTCGTTCCAGAGGAAGTCGTTGAAGTTAGAATCCATCGATGTCACACATTTAATTACACACAAACGAAAATACAAACAATAAAAAATAAACATTACAAAAACGCCGGTACCGGGAAACTTGATACGCACGGAGGGCAGGTCTAGACTGATGCGTTATCTCGAAGTGTATTTCCTCCCCCTCCTCCTTATTTATCACGAGTTGACCATTGTTTTGGTTGAGACTCACCTATTTTTATTGCCGATTCGTAAATTATATTTGATTTAAAACCTCTTTGTTCGTTGAGGACATTGTGGGGTTCTTTTTTCACAGCCTTGTAAACAATGTAAACTTTTGTACTTTAAAATTGTAAACTTTTGTAAAACTTATGACAGCTAGCCTGCCTTACTACTGGACCGAATTACACGCGGTTGGTACTAAATGAAAGATATTTTCCTGTAGATGTGCAGAATCCCTTTACAAATTAAAATAGGCTCAAAAATAAGCACGAAAAATGACTTTGAAATGTAAAAATACCCCTGCCGAAGCAAACCTGCAGACCAAGCGAATTTCCATTTGCCTGATTGGATTTACACTTAAATATCTCCTTAAAAAAATATCACATTTATTCCCTAGCATTAGTTTAAAGAGTACTTAGGTTTGCTGCAATAGGGAGGGTAAAATGTTATTTGACCTGTCTCGACTTCTCAATATTGAATTTTAATCTCAGATGGGGTTTCGTGCCGGAATCTAAATAAATTTGATTAGTAAAGCCTAATTATGGTTTTTTTAAATCATAATTATTGAATGTGGATTGGTTAAATTTTGACTTTAAAGATTTTTTTTTCAACTAAAAGAAAAACCACAAATATAAAAGTCTATACAAATGTTGATGGAACAAGATTCTTCTTAAGGCTTAATCTTGGTTTGATAGTAGACCTATGTTCCAAAATGTCCTTCAAGCAAATAATTATTGATCTAGGTACAGTAGAACCCCTGTTAACCAAATTCGGGTTAACCGAAACTCGGGTAAACCGAAATGGTTTCTATAAAATATTATAGGGCTGTAAAATGCTTTAATAACTTCAGTTGTCTGGTTTAAAGACCAGATATATCCCATTGTGACATTTTTGTAGCTGAAATAACACATAGAAGACATTCTCTTAAATTCATTTTCCCTAAACACTGTGGTGATACATTGGCTATTTTTAGCATATGATGGGTTAACCGAAAAATTGGTAAACCGAAACTGCTCTCCCCCCTTTATTTCGGCTAACTGGTGTAAACCAAGTTAAGGTAAGGTACAAACACAATAAATAATAATTTCTGCGCATTTTTGAAATTGTTATTTATTGTGTTTAAACTTAAACTTAAAACATGCATGAAGTGCAAAAACAGTCTGGAGATAGGTAATATAATTCAACAACTCGATTCATTATAACCTAAACTTTAACTTTTCTAATCTAACCTACCTTCAAAGGACTTAATATAGTCACAAATCCACATAACATCCAATCTACCTACCTCACATGTCTTTTTCAACTTATAAAACAAATTTTAAGCTGTTCGAGAAGTTTGGTTGGGTTATGTTAGGCTATAATAGTATCAATTTGTTGTTTGTTCATTTTATTAAAACTGCCACTACACTATTATCATAATGGGACATAACGGTTACATAGTCAAAACCTTAGCTAAGCCACTTGGTTAAGTAAAGAGAAGAACGAAATGAATTCCTTCTTCAATTTTCATAATCCAGTCTAGATCCAGATTAAATATGTCCGACCTAGAGGTGTTTTTTAATGTTAAACTTAATTAATTTTAATCAAATATTACATACAGCCTACTTAAATTAAAGTATTTACCTTTCTAAGTGTGGGTTGTGTGGGTAATATTTACTTTAAAATGGCATATAATCAATCAATAATTTGATTTTACAGTGTAAACATTGAAGAGCAGATTCAACGTTCTTAATACAACATTAAAATAAAATTCAAAAATTTGTAGTTAATTCAGTTATTGTGACAGCAGAAAAATCTTTGCACCATTGTTTTCAGGTAAAAATCTAGTTTCTAATGATATATAAATTACTATAGTACTCTTGGTCACCCTCATCGCAATAATTACCAGAGAAAGTATTGTTTTTGTCAATATTTTTTAGCTTTGAGTGGATATATCCGTTTTGGGTCCCCCTGAACACAAAAAAGTGGTTTTTTGAAGTGATGTCCGTCCGTGTGTTGGTGTGTGTGTGTGTGTGTGTGTGTGTGTGTGTATCCGTGAACACAATAACTTGAGTAATTTTTGTCGGAATTTCGTCCTGGGACAAAATTGTACTGTCGGCCTCGTATAGCTAATCTAATTGAGTATGTCCAGGGTTAGTAGTAATAATAGTATTTGGTTTAAAAATATGGGCTCAGATATGGTCGTTAAAGCATCAGCTTTCAGTAAATGACACATTCATCACTACCCGGGTTAGGCCTTAATTAAAACAAATTAGTAATTTGGACTAATTGGCGTTAATACCGTGAGTGAAACACTGGTCGTAACTAACTAAAATTGTTAACTTGGAAAATAAAACAAATCTCTATTTAATGGATATACCGTGTTTCACTTTTGGAATTAAAACCAACGATACTTAAAATAACCGAATCGATTGTCGCAGGTCCACGAGCTATTTCGCCCTGGCCTAACCTAATATTCGACGATACCAGGGTTGATCCACCACTGGCTCACATACCGGGCTATTCCGCCCTCAAACCTATCGTCTTGCAATATACGCGGGTCCGAGAGTTATTCCGCTTCTCGGCCTAACCCTAGTATTCGTCGCTTCCAGGGTTATTCCACCACTGGTTTAATTACCGGGCTATTCCGCCCTCGCCCTACTAGGGAGATGTAGCTAGCTATTAGCCCAGCGCTCAAGTGACTGTGCCCTGTCCTGTACCATTCTTTTTGCTTGGATTAAACAATAGGTGGAATACTTTGTACCAGGTGCCTACGATTATATCTTACTAGAGGTAGCTAGTCGTGGTTTGTTCCCGAATGAAGAAACATGCATATTGTGTTATTGTTCTAATACAAATGAGAGAAATTCACCCATATTCAAGGTTGTATAAAATATATTGGAGGCTATAAAATCTACACGAAGTTGAAGTTTGATTGTTTTGTAAATATTCAAGTATATTTTTATTAAATAAGGATTCGCTGCGTCCTTATATTCACACTTCCTTATAATGACACTTCCGTGATTGCGAGAGAATTTCACGATGGTTCGGCCGACCCAGGAGATGATGATGATGTCTCCGTTAATAGCGGGAGATATTCATCCTAGCAAAGTAACCACGAGCACAGGAAACAATCTTAGTATGTTTTCTGTGCCACAAGGTATGTTGAAGTTAGCACCGTGGCCATGAGACATGTCAACGATGGCAACGTGAGTGCAAGATACGTTGACGGTTAACGCCGTGACCGCAAAAACTTCGACGATAACACTGTAACCACGAGACATTTTGATGTTGGTACCATGACCGCAAAATATGTTGACGATAACGCTGTGACCGTGAGACATGTTGACGGTGGCATCATAACCGCAAAACATGTCTACCATTACGCCACCTCCGTGAGAAATGTTGACGATGGTGCCACGACCGTGAGACATGTTGACGGTCGCGCCATGACCGTGTGCAGAGAGGGACATGTTGGCGATGGTGCTGTGAACCAGGACCAACT